AATAATAATCTTTTCCAATCTTTTTAAAAATATCCTTCATCTATCTTTTTAATCGTTTTTTGAATTTTTTTAAAACATGACTTTTTGAATGTTAAATGGTAACATCGTGAAATATAATTAAAACAAAAAATTTTATTTTAGAAAAACAATTAGTCAATTAGAGCTAATTTTCATTTTCGTTCAGAAAAGAATTGAATGATTAATTAAGTGGCACTGACTTTGTCTGTTTACAATTCTCGAGTGGGTGTAATTAGAAAACTTTAACCGTCGCTTAAATTTTTTTCATACTTTCCTCTTAACTAAACTATTTTTATGCTATAATATTCCTAAGTTGTTATTAATTTAATTTTTGCATCCATACGAAAGAAAAGTGCAGAAAGCAAATTTTTTTAATTATTACCACTTAAGAATAATTTTTAATAAATTAGGTTGGTAAAATTAATTAGGCTAGTATTGGGTTAAGAAATTAGACTGTAACATGGATTAAAGCTTAAATCTTTCAACAACAAACGTTACTTGCGAATACCACTACTTCTTTCAATTGCATGTTGAATTAAAGAGTCGATCGTTATATCAGTATTTTTTCATTCAAAAAAAGAAATTGAAAATTGAATTGAAATTGAAGTTTCTCGAAAAGAAAGAGATCAGTATTAGGCTAGTATTGGGTTAATAAATTAGGCTGGTAACATAGATTAAAGCTTAAATCTTTCAACAACGAACGTTACTTACGAATATCACTGCTTTCTTCAATCATATGTTGAATTGACGTATCGATAAAATTGATTTCGTTATATCAGCATTTTTTTCCTTTCAAAAAAAATTTGAAAATTGAAGTTTCTCGAAAAGGAAGAGGTCAGTAATGAAAACAATCAGAAAAGAGGTCATTTCGTTGTTCATTTCCTTTATTGTAAGTATTTTTATCACTCAGAAAATTTCCTTCAGCACATTTAGGTTATTAAAGAAATTTGATAAAAGTCATTTGTTCGATATTACTTCTTTCAAATGTTATTTCTATCATTTATCATTGAAATGAAAGTGATTAGTGAAATTTAAAATAATTTCAACAATATTGAATCGTATAATTAACACTTCTAATTTCTCTCTTCAATCTTATTTCCCCCCTCATATCTATAACCTCTGATCTTATTTATATATCATTTTTTTACCAATCTCATATCCCTAACCTCCGACCTTATTTATATATCATTTCTTTTCTACCTTATACCTCTAACCTTTGACCTTACATATATATATATACCAACATCGATGACAATTTATTTACTGTAAAACGTATTGGAAGAAAATTGCGATAATTGTAATAATTTTTTCCATTGTTTTTTTTCTTCTGCTACATTGCCAAATTTATTTTTTAAAAGTAAGAAAATTTTTAATTGAAACAAGCTCTTCTTTTGATGTTATTTGTCTGTCAAAGGTGTCAAAGTTCAAGTAAGTGTCAAAGTTCAAAAAATTTTTTAACATTTTTCTTAACAAAATTTTGTTAAAGTTTCATTTTAAATGTATCAAAAATTTTATTAATTTAAAAAATTCTACATATTTTAATAGACTTAAAAAATAGCGCATACTAAACAGTTTATTTCAATAAGTTAAAATTTCATTTTATATTACCACTTATGTTGAATGTAGTAGAAACTATTTTAGTTAATCGATCACTGCAATCGATCATCTTCTAATGATATCGGTATTTTTAAAAGCAAAAAAATATTTTAGTTGAAACAAAAGTATAAATTGTCAAACCATTAAATGACTGATTAGTTTGCTGAAAATACACTATTGTTAATTGAATTTTAGAAATTTCAAAATTTCATATGAGAATTTTACCTTTGGAAATGTTATAAAATGAAATAAAGAAATTAGTCAATTTTATATTTGAAATTAAACAAATTCTACTACGACGATTTCCTAATTATCAATTATTATTTATATTCGTTTATTAGAATTTAATCATTCAACAAACATGCTTGTTTTGTAAAACTGGTTATCTGATTCTTATCTTATCTGATATTATCGGATATTTACACCATGTATATAGGATGCTAATTTTAATTTGTTAATTTTGAACGCTTTGTTTGCAACGAGATATCATTGAGTGAATGTCATATCAATGGGAACTTAATCTCATTAATGATCCAGAGGTCACTTAACCTCTTGCAAATAGCTTATGTCTATCATAACATCATTATGTCTATCATAGCTTATCGTATGATGAGATTTTTTCTTTTATTGATATAATAATTATATCATAGGCATAAACTATTTGAAAGAGGTTAAATGCTTCGATTAGTCGATTTCTTCCAGATTTTTTGATTTGGTAACTGCGGATCCACGGGATTTTACATTGGTTAGTGTAAATAAACGGAGAGAATCGTTCTCGAAACTTGTTTGCTAAATTTTAAAATAGAAATGGGAATAGCATGACTTCATAATTTTTTGTCGTATGAAAAGGGACGCGTCACTTTTGATCGATTCAAATTGCGAAATAATTTAAATGAAAGTAAAAGTTAATTACTGTTAAACAAATGTTCATAAACTATCACATAAAAAAACAAAAATAAGTGATCGTACGTGTACAAATAAGTGATCGTACAACGTATGATACGTGCATATCATATGTATGACGATCATATCATGAACAATTGAATAATGACAACAATTTAGCTATAAAATAATATCAAATTTTAGAATGGTACAAAAAGAAATACAATTAATAACATTACTATGCTTCATATGGTATCATACAATTCGAGCGCAACAAGTTAATGTAACAATATTTACCGAATCAAAATGTAAATATTGTACAAGATTATTACGTGAAGAAATTTGGCCATTTCATGTAGAACGACCTGGTATAATGAATATACAGGTATAGTTGAAATTTTTATATTTATATGAAGTCATTTTAGAAAATATCAATTTTGCGCATTCTATTTGATAATCTGAATATGTTTGACTTTTTAAATCGCTTTTTTTGTTAACTTTCAATTATTTGTTGTTGTTGTTGACGAAAATGAAATGAAACCTTTCTGATAATAAACAGGTATGATATATTCTGATAATAAACAGGTATAATATATTATCTATGAGGTAGAGTGCTTTTTTAAATGTAAGGTTGAATAAAAATGAAATGAAACCTTTCTGATAATAAACAGGTATGATATATTCTGATAATAAACAGGTATAATATATTATCTATGAGGTAGAGTGCTTTTTTAAATGTAAGGTTGAATAAAAATGAAATGAAACCTTTCTGATAATAAACAGGTATGATATATTCTGATAATAAACAGGTATAATATATTATCTATGAGGTAGAGTGCTTTTTTAAATGTAAGGTTGAATAAAAATGAAATGAAACCTTTCTGATAATAAACAGGCATGATATATTCTGATAATAAACAGGTATAATATATTATCTATGAAGTAGATTGCTTTTTTTAAATGTAAACTAATAGCTTTAAATAATATATCAGTAAATATTATTTCAGATAATACCATTTGGTAAAGGTTATTGTGATCATTTTTCTAATCATACATTTCATTGCCACTGTCAACATGAACAGGATGAATGTGATTTGAATAGATTGCAAAATTGTGCTATCGCTGTTAGTATATATTTTAATTTTTACCTGCTCCTTTTTCTTCTCCTGAAATTAAATTAAGAAATGAAATTGTGATAACTTGAAAAAAAGATTGAGATTTTAGATTGTAGTATGAATCTGATGGAATTAATTACAAATGTTTTATTTAATAATTATAAATTAATTTTAGATCTTTCCTCGACGCTACTTAGGCCTAGTAACATGTGTTCAAGGCTTGTCTAATATTTATGAAGCATTTTCGCGTTGTTTAACGGGCCTTACGGAATATACACGATATCGATTAATTGAATGTGCTACAACGCAAATTGGTGAAACGTTGAATTATTATTCAATGTTAAATACTCATCGAGCAGGTAGCAATTTATTTTGTTAGCTTTTCCAGTGCATCAAATATGAATTTTATGAATAGCCAAGTTATAATAATTATGCAAATTTATCATTGAATAATTTACAGAGATTAAATTATGGCCAGCAATGTTTGTAAATGGTGAATATTTCGAGCGCAATTATCCATCCGAAATTGAGATTTGTAGGCATACAGCATGGTGCTAACAACAATTCAACAATTATATATTTGTCAAAAATCGGGATTTCAGGTCATTTCACATTGCATAAGCAATTTGAGTAATCTGAAAAAAAAGCGTATGATATTATGTTATCATTGTTAAGCTATCATTTGTTTAAGAAGTTATTTTTATCCATCAACGCGTACATTGTTCATTTATTTCATTCCTTTCATCGTTTAAATTTTCCGCAACATTTCCCACAAAATATCTCAAGTGATAATTCAATTTGGCAATCCCATAATTTAGCAATCAAAAAATTCCTATTACTACTAAATCGTGGTATTCAACAAGAATTTTGCTTTTCTGATTGGGAATGAATACCTTATCGATTCATACAGGTATATCAGTTAGTTTTAAAATCTCTAAAGAGAAAGTGTAATGAAATCAACAAGAAAAATTTTCAATTAAATCTTTGAGAGAAAGTTGTGCAGTGAAATCGCTAAGGAAATTTTTCAATTAAATTTTGGAATAACAAAATATTCATTATGTTTACATTAACTTTGAAAATTGATAATGAAATTTCATTGAAAATTTGGATTAAAGGGGATATCCATCAATTATACTCTAAAATATTTTGAATTGAACACAATCATCCAAAATGTTTTATTTTAAATATTTCATTTTAAGTTGTCTAATTTCGAATTTTGTTATTAAATTCATTTTACTAATTTTTATGATATTATTAAAATAATAGGAAATGAATGGAACTCAATTTCTTTTTTACTACTGAAAAAAAGAAAACATTTAGAGATAAGTGATTTCAATAAGAATTTGATTACTTAAATTTGTAATTATTATTATAATAACAGGAAATGAATGGAATTTAATTTCTTTTTTACTACTGAAAAAGGAAAATATTAAAAGATGAATGGAAATGTGATTTCAATAATAATTTAATTACTTAAATTTGTAATTGTTATTATAATAATAGGAAATGAATGGAATTAAATTTTTTTTACTACTGATAAAAGGAAAATATAAACGGAAGATAAATGGAAGTGTGATTTCAATAAAAATTTGATTACTTAAATTTATAATTGATAATAAGTTTTGAAAAGAGAAATAATCATACACTATTTTCTTTCATAGAATTTAGCTAATTCTTCAGGTGTGGAAATTTGTATAAATTTCATAGTTTAAATTAATTAATTAATTAACTCTTAATCGTTTTCTTTTTTGTTGTTGTTTGAATTGAAAAAAACAGAAAGGAATTACAACAAAGGTGAAGGGAAGAATTTAGATGGAAAATATATGAAAGAAAATGAGAACAAAGAAAATGCGCAGATGACAATTTAAATTATCAATTATTTAAATGACCCAATTATGTCAGTATTGTTTTTTCCTTCTACGTATCATTATTATCATTATCATTTGTTGCATGATATTATGTTGTGAAGTTTTTTTTCCTTGTTTTGTTTTATTTACTTTCTTTTAATGAAGAGAAATAAAAGGTAAAAGGTATTTGCTATGAATTTGATTGATCAAAATAAAATGAAATTATATTTTGTTTTTAAAAAGAAGAAAATTCAATCATTCAAATCGGCGATATTAATAAAATTTAAATATCTAACAGAAAATAAGCGAATAAATAAAATGATACGGTGAAAAATAAATTTTAAATTATTTGTGAATTAAATTTGCAATTATTTTATTCCATTATTATCGGGCAGAAACAAAAAAAAAAAAGGTCAAATTCAATCAATTCTTCTTTGATGACAGTAAAAATATCATAGAATGTATTACTCAGTAGGAGGTCAATTCTTAGAAGAAGCAGGTGTGAAAATCATCATTTACAGCTGCTTTTCTCATAACCAATTTTCTGTTTTAAGATTATCATCAATTTTCTCAATCGTCTCAGTAAGAAGATTCTCGAAAGCTGTCTCAATAAACAGATTCTCAAGAACCGTCTCAATAGAAAGATTCTCGAAAACTGTCTCAATAAACAGATTCTCAAGAGTAATATTAAAATGTGATAATACAATAAATTAAATATAAGAGATATTTACTATGTTTACGATATTGTAACGTAATATAATAGTCATTAAGAAAATATAAACTTAACCTTTACAACTATTAAATATAAATGAGTAAAAAAATTGAAATTTGAATTTGAAATTGATATTTGTCAACAAAATCTAAAAATGAAATATAATTTAGTAATTTCATTGTAAGTTTTAAATTTTGATTAATTCAATTTTCTCGTTTTATTATATTTGATATTTACATTTTTGTTGTGTTAATTCTAAATTATAACTTCTGAGCCATTTCATTTCATTAATTCCAAAATTGATTTTAAATTAGGATAGTTATCCATGCATAAATTTTTATAATTATTACCTGTAGAGAGGTAACGACTTTCCTACCTTTTTTGTTCAAAATTTTTTTCTATTATATCCATCAATGTCTGCGGCAATTTTCCATTATTCAAATTTACCTCTAAAACACGAAATTTTTGAATTGCGATAATTCTTTACAACTTTTATCACATGCCGATCGTCTCTTATCAAATATTATCACAAAATTTAGTTATCACATTTTTTACATTTCCATTCCCTATTATCGTTTTTTTGAAATGTATTTATTCTTCGCCGTAGAAAACTTGATAATTATTTTCCACAAATAATAAGATGAAATTTTTTAATTGAAATTTTACTTGAAAGATATTTTTTATAAAATTATAATTTGTCCAAATTGATAAAATTATAATTTGTAAAATACTTCTAGCATACTTTAAGCAAAAAAAATAGAGAGGAAGAGAGAGAGAGAGAGATGATATCTTTCCATTGATTTATTAACTTTTCTTTCTCTTATCGCTTAAAATTTTTTTATCCATTTACTCAACTAAATTTGCTCATTTTAAAATTTTGTAGTTTATAAAGTTTAATTATAAATTGATAGTATAACTTAAAAGAGAGAAAGGAATATTTGTTTGATGAAATAATTAATTTTATTTTAATTGACTCATTCAAAATCATTTTTCTTATTATCCTTTTATTATCGTTTTTTTCTTTTCTAAAGATAATTTTAATGTACTAAGCAAAAAGAACAGATACGCTTTATAAACTATAAAATTTTTAAATAGGAGAAAATTTACTGTTCTGTATTTTTCTTTTGAAATCATTTCAATCTTTTGCTTTCTTTTTCTTTGACGGAAATAATTTTATTTCTCTCAAATACAATAAATAACAATTGAATGAGATGATTTTACTCTCACATTGTTTATATGTATATATTTAGAGTTTTGTAGGCTTTCTTTTTCTTTTCTGTATAAGTGAAACTTATTGATTGGTACTCTAAAATAATATGAAAAATGGCAACTGAATGAGTTTTCCGATTTGACAGTTTGATGATTATCATAATACAGTTACCTTTTCTCTATGTATGTCACCTCTCTGTTAAACATTAACTTTTACTCTGTTCAATTATCAGGCAAAATAAAAGACAGCCGGAATAATTGGAATTAATAATCAATTATTATTTTATATCCATTCATTATAAATTTTTACCATGCAATCATTTTCCGTATGTTTGTAAGAAATTTTATCATTTTTCTTGACAGTTGTTGCAATTTCACTTAATTTGGCTTCTAAGCAAATGTAGAATTTTTAAAAGCTCTCTGATGAAACTTCCGTATACTCATTATCCAAAATCCGGTTTTTGTTGAGATATGTTTCCGTAATGCGTGATTTGTGATATTTGTAGTGCGAATATATTATAGCTCAGGTAATGTCACTGAAATATATTACCGCAATGTTACTAAAATATATTTCCATAATATATTTCCATTTGTAAGTTAAATTAAATAGTTAAAGAGATTCATAAAAAATTTTACAACATTGTAGGATAGATGACGAAGAGCAAAAAGTAAAGTGTAATTCAAATATATTTTGAATGTGTGTAACGTGATAACGTATATGATGATAACTGTAACGTAAAAATGAATAAATATAAAATTGCCATATACCTGATAGATATGTGATGATGATATTTGATAATGTTTGCACAGTGTAATCGTTCAAAGGCAATATATGGTCATCATCTAACAAGTGGACGGGTCATTTGTCTGACTCTTTTTCATTCTTTTTGTTTTCTTTCTACCTTTTTCCATTACTTTTAATATGAATAAGCTAATAAATTGCTACTTTATTATCAGCATATTTCAATTGCTAAATTTAAATTTAAATTTATTTTTTTTTTAATTCATTTCATTAAAATTTCACTCTAATTAATAAACTTTTTCTTTTTTTGATTTTTTAATAAATTTTTTTGTTTAAATTTTAAACGAAAAAATTTTTAATTTTCTAAATTAATTTCGTTTCATTCATTTTTACGGAATATTTTGTTTTAGCGAAGAATGATGAAATCGTTTTACAATTTCCCATATAAAAATATTAGCAACGATACTGTCAGAAAAACGATCGTTAATAGTATTCACTCATTTTAGCGAAAACTTTTTTATTTCCTTTATGGTATGAATTAATTAATTATAGCTTATGCAATAAATATATATATATTCTTATCGATTTATGTTTAATCTAAAACACATATGTTAATTTTAGCACAGTTAACCTTTTGAAAATATATCAATATGGCTTTCCAATTATCAGAACTTTTTTATTTCCTTTTTAGTATGAATTAATTAATTACAGTTTATGCAACAAATATGTATATTCTTATCGATCGATGTTTAATCCAAACATATATGTTAATTTTAGTACAGTTAGCCTTTTGAAAATATATTATCAATATGAATATATTCTTATCGATCTATATTTAATCCAAGAATAAATGTTAATTTTAGTACAGTTAACCTTTTGAAAATATGTTATCAATATGAATATATTCTTATCGATCTATATTTAATCCAAGAGTATATGTTAATTTTAGTACATTTAACCTTTTGAAAATGTATCATCAGTATGACTTTCCAATTATCAGACAATTTAAAAATTTAGAAATTTACAATGATATAAATTATCCAAAGAA